TCTCATAGGCAAATAGTGTGTCTCATTATGATTTTAATTCACATTCCCCAGATGGATAACAGTATTATTCCTTCTAAGAGCCCAGAGAGATGGGGAGAGAAACAGCGACAGCACCCCCAACAGGGTCTGGAGACTGATCTACTCCAAGCCTCGAGCCCTGGAGCCTTGGCAAATGTGTGCCCAGTGTTCCAGGAGGTCTCCACACTTGAACCAGGAATGTCCCCATGTGGGATTGCCTCACAGACCGTCAGCTTTTACTGCTGCGCTACCTTCTGGCCTGTCAGCTTTCTCCTTAGTGGATCATACTTTGGGTGTTAAGTCTAAAAATTCTTTGCTTGGCCTAGACCCAAAAGATCCCCCCCCCCATTTTGTATTTTATAGTTAAATCTAGGACCAGTTTTATAAGGGGTATGAGGTCTATGAAGCAGTTTGTAATTTTGCCAGTTTCAAACCAATTACTCAAGCACCGTGTGTTGGAAAGACGACCTTTCTCCTTTTGCATCCTTGTCCCAACCAGTGGACCTCCTGTGTGCGGTTGTTTTGGGCTCCATTCCTCTGCTGCCCTATGTGTCTATTCCCTCCAGCAGCATCACAGTCTTGATTACTGTGGTCTTAAAACTGGGTAGAATTGGGAACCAGCAGTTAGCGTAATGGCTGTCAGTGGATTGCCACATAGTTGACTGTTCGCGTCCTGGACCCGGTGGCTTAAAACTCACACCGGGCGCATGTGTGTGCATGCCCAAGATGCTGAGAGGAGAATGGAGGAGAAGGGATTGCGGCGTGGCCATCCCCCCTGGGGGGTGATTTCTTGCTTTCTGTCTCTCTGTTCCTCTCTGTCTGTCTGGCGAGTGCACACGTGCCCTATAGCAAAAACCTCTCCAAAAAAAGAAAAAAAAAATGGGTAGAATTATTCCTCCCACTTTCAAGTTGTTTTAGCTATTCTGACTTTCCACATAAATGTTAGAATTATCTACAACTACAAAACAAAAACAAAAACAAAAACAAAAACAAAAAAGCAATTCGCCGGGATTTGGCAGGAATTGTCGCCAAGCCCTTGCTTAAGCACAGGTGCTCTGTGAACTAAGCCACCTCCAGCAAGCTGGTGGCTTTGCTATAAGCAGGGGAGTTCGGTACAACAATTCTCTCAGAAGGGTAGCTATAACTCTTCAGGTAAAAATTGAGATTTAGCTAGTGCTAGGGTAGGTGTCCTTTCAAATATGTCATTTCTTTTTTTTTCCCCCAGAGAGTCATGGAAGATTTTTAAAATTTAACTTCCTTTTTTACTAGTTTTCATTAGTTTGCTATAAGGCATATGTACTCACCAGAGAGACAGAAAGAGAGAGAGAGAACAAGAAAGCAAGTCACCAGGTCTAGGACTTGAACCGCAGTCAGCCATGTGGGAATCCAGCACCTCAACCACCACACCACCCACCAGTCCCTCAAATACATCATTTCTATTTGACTAGCAAAGTCTATTGGGCCCTTTCCGTCTTGTTAATCCTCTAATTTGAATTGACCCCATCCCAAAGCTGAGATGCCAGACCAGCTGGTCACATGGCTTCTTTGGACTTCAAGAGCTCAATTCAGTAGGTTAGTAGCTGTGTTTCAAAATGGGTGTATTTGGAGGCTGTGTCAGGCAGGTGGCAATGCTGTGCTGAGAAAAGGCCCGTGTGCTCTCTGACTGCCATGAAGTGTTTAAAGCAGCGATTTCCCTTTTTCCTCTTCGGATTCTACAATATATTGCTTCTGTTGGAGCACCTGGGAGGGGACAGAGAAACAGGTCAGGGAGGCGTTTACATTTACATGCCTCTCTATCTGTGGCAGCCTGTGACAGGGAGAATCCCACGGACAATCATGAGAAGGGGAAGCACAGGCCTATCATATCTTTGAATTTGGAAGCCATATTGCACTGAACCACCCAAAGGGCCCTGCCTACAAGCCCCTGTAGCTTCCTTGCCCTGCACGGAGCATGTCCAACTGCCTTTTCCTCTATAGGGACACAAACCAGAGTTGAGACTGTCATGTGCTACGCGTGGCAAGAGCAAAAGAGGGCAACTGAGTGTCAGTTCACACCACCTCCCAACCTGCAGTGTGAAGGGAGTGAGGGAGGCCGGGGTGGCAGACGAGCTAGCTGTGGGGCAGAAAGGTGCTTCTTGGCCTTTCCCCGTTGGCACTGTGCTCCTGGGTCCATGCCTGACTGCTGGCAACTGCCTCTCCTGCAGCAGCGCTGACACCTCAGCAACCCTGGAAGCCAGAGCCCAGGGCCTTCTTTCCTTCTCCCGACACACTGTCATGTTTCACTCTGAAGCCTGCCGCACCTTGTCCTCAATGCCAGGTAAACTGGTAGGCCCGGAGCTGTGAGCATTGCTGGCTCTGCACTTCTAGGCAAGGCTTTGCTTTCACTGCTGCATTTGTATGGGGCTGTGACTGCTTGCAGGGGAACCAAAGGACCTTCTAATGTTTTAGGTTCACCTGAAGTTCTCCACTGAAGAATAAGATTCTTATTGCAGATACCACTTGTTTTACAAACAGGACTCCTTGATTTAGTAGCTGCAGTCATGCTGCCTTTCAGCTAGGGGGGCCACAGGAATTGCTGACCCTGTGTTATGAAAACAACCCTTCTTCTAACTGCCCAAAGGAGTAACAGGGCACTATTTGGACTTGTTTCAATCTTACCTTAGTGCTAAGCCTCTGAACACCACCCTGTTCATTAATAGGGAAGATAATGGGAACCCTTGTTTACTCCAAACCTTACTCCATAGCCACCTCTTGGGTGAGAAAATTTGCTATTAGATCCCAGGGAGCCTCGTATTCCAAAATCTGGCCCACAGTTTCTTTTCCATGAAATAATTTCTGTCAACATGCCAAACTTGTTGCCAAAACATGCTCTAGGTTTTCATCAAAAAAAAAGATTTTTTTTTTTATTTTAGGTTTTGCAATATGGCATGTGTGCTTGCCAGGGAGACACACACAGAGAGAATGAGAAATCACTCCCCAAGGGGCATGGCTGTGCCAGTCCATTCTCCATCCTCCTCTTGGTATCTTGAGCACGTGCATACACATGCCTGGCATGATTTTCAAGCTGCCCAGTCTGGGACTTGAACTGCAGTCAGCCATGTGGGGTCCAGTACCTTAACCTCCAGACCACCTGCTGGCCCCTAAGATTTCATTTTAACCTGTTGACACACCAGTAAGTTAGCCTGTCACAGTCTCGGGTATACAGACAGAGGACACGAGTCTCTTGGGTCAGAGGCAGAGGACTTTATTGGCACAGCTCACAGAATAACCATTAGCACATTTGTCAGTTCCCTGTGTCTCCAGTTCACGGTGGCAACACAATGGGCCTGGGTGGATACCAAGCCTACAGCAGATTAATGTTGCAGCCGAGAAATACCGAGCATGGACCCAATGCTTTTATAGCATGCGGTTAAGCCTGCTCCTTATCCTCCAGGTTACTAGTTACATAAATTCTGAAGATGGTCTAGGCAAAATTGTCACCGGGGCCTTGTATACCCAGCAAGATGTGTGCTACACAAGGCCCACGGGGGCAATGTTTATCCTTTCCTATACTGTGCTTTGCTCATTCTCTCATGTATTTATTTCAACACATCTGTAAACTGATGGCTCATGCAGGCTAGGCCCTGTGCAAAAAACACTTAAGACAGTTGGCTAAGACAGAACAGGCAGCCTGGTCAAGAATATCGTCAAATTAGTTTCAAAGACGGCAGAATTCCTTCCAAGTTTGTTTCTCACTCACTTTGTGAGCTGCCTGTCAGTCCTAACGGGAACTCAGTGAGAGTTAAAGGATCCTTTCTGGGCCATCTTTAAGAACTATGACTAGTGCCCATTCCTCAAATAAGGACTGTCATATAATACAAAGGGATTTCCAAAGTTAGTGGGAAAATGGAGTTCAAGTACAAGTTTACTTTAGTGTGAAAAATTTTGAAATACATGCACAGTTATTTCATAATATACAGATTCTGTGAAATTTTTGAAGACTCCTTGTAGTCTCGAAAAGCCACATCTGTCTTTCTGGAAAGAGATGGATCCTTCTGGTGAGAAGGTAATGGCAGCTGAGAGGCAGTGACAGAATGCTGCAATGGAGGAGACCCAGTAGTCAGGCCTCAAGCACAGTCCTGAGATGAGACTATGACTCGGCCCAAGAGTTGAGTATATGAGAATGTTTTCCCCTATGGAGTTTTATTTCAGACTTTCAAAAAACCCCAAATTTGTATTACCACTTAATATTTAAATTTCACAGTTTTACTCTCTAGTGATAACGATAACTTTTAAAATTACAATCAAACTTCAAGAAGTCTCAGATTTTAATTTATAACAGGTGACAGATACTGGAGGACTAGAACGAGAATGGAGATGCGATCAGTGGCTGTGATAAGCCATACCATTTAAGGAATAACCACATACGGATGCTGGCAGTCAAGCTTCAGATCCACACAACAAAAGGCATAAACAAAACAACATGGCTTTCAGTGACGGTCACAGGCAGTCCCCATGAAGCGCCAGCTGGAGGTCAGGAACGTGTGTATGTGCACAGAACCAGAGGCCAAGGGTTGTTTTTGTAACTCAGGAGGGACAGAATAAAGTGATGGAGAAGCAGTGTTTTTATTCATATGGCCTGACAATTTTTGTCCTTTCCTAAGCAATTTCATGAAACATATCTTAAAGTCCTACCTTTATCTGTGTGTTTACATTATAGATTTCAAAGAAAAATCGTAACATTTTTCTCCTGAAAGCTAGAGGGACGAAAATAAAATGAAGTCAGGATGTTTTAACACATGATGCAGTGTTTCAGTGTTTATCACTGGGGTATAAAGTGCTAAATGGGCTACTGTAAAAATATTAGACACTAATCAATTACATATAAGAACCAAATGAGCTCCATCACATTGGATAAGATTTAATTTGAAGAAAATCAGTTACCTGACCTGCCAGGTTAAAACAAAGTCTACATTTAATGTAAAGAGACAAAATGGAAGGAGTTTAAGTAATAAATGTTTAATCAAAGTTTTTTTTTTCTTAAAACATATTATTAACAGCATTCATTTGGCCAAACATCTACACGTTTGTAGAATCCTACTGTATATAAAGTGGGAATGTATCAAGTATAGACTATGAAAGTGCAAATAACAAGTCAAGGTTAGAGTAACTGTTTTCGTTTTTACATTATAAAATTAACTTGTTTACAAAATAGGCTTTGCCAAACTTTATTACTGAATTGTAAAGTCAATGACTGTGTTGTTTTTAAAATATGTACCGAGGAAATACAAACTGGATAGTGATCATCTTTCATGCTGAGGAGAGAACAGCACAGGAACAAAGGATACTGCACGAGGTGCAAAGAAAGCGGACCACCCCCCACCCCCCATACACTGCCTTGCCACAGGGCACTCTCACCTTCCTGCAGCTGTGCGCGGCACCTCAGTGGGATGCACCCTCTTTCTATTGAAAAACTACTGCCTTGTCTAAAAACTTACTGGTGGTAATATTTTTAATCCAAAATAAAGTTGTAAAAAAAAAAATCCTTTAATGGACTCTTTCAGTTTAATATACAGTGAAACACTGTAGGTAAAGTCAGAATTTTCCCCTGCTAAGTTTCATAGGGATTGATATCAATGTTTCTGATAACTGGAGAAATACAAACTCATGCAGATCTCTGATATCCATGGCTTGAGAGCAATTCCCATAGTTTATCCTAGAGAACGCGAGACATACCAAATACTTTAATAATGTAATATCCTAGCCATATGAATTGAAAGTACAAGAGTATTTCAAAAGTAGGGTTTGGAAAGGGAAAAATAAAGTAACAAAAACCGTAATCACAACTTACCAAAAAAAAAAAAAAAAAAAAAAAATCAATACTAATATACCTTTTACCCAGCCCAGGGCTTGCCTGTACAATCTCAGTACTGAAATTTTTGTAGATTTCTGGTAACAATCTGGCAAAATGTTGAAGGGAGTATTGTGTGCATCTATTTTTGCTTATGTTATGCTAATTTTGATAATATGTAAGTAAAACAGCCATTCCAACATTTTACTCTAGTTTTAATTACACACTGTACCATTGTTATCTTAATTACAACTAAGACCAGTATTTTCTTCACAGTAAGACACTGATAACTAGGAAGTTGATTTTTTCAACACTAAACAGTAATCACACAGCAAATGAGTATTGTGCAATAGAACAAACACATGTCAGCATTTGCTATTTAGGCAAACAAACCGATTGAACATGTAGTTGTTATAGTTACTGTAAAGGCAAGGCCATGGGTGGTTTTATGGAGGTCTTTGCAATTCATAGCATAGTTACTTCAGAAGAGACATTGAGATTTGAATTACTCACTTACTTAACTGGCAACTATCCATTCAGTTTAGGCAAAGGCACGGTAACATGTTGCGCAGGATGTTTTATTGAATTATTTAATAATTGTGGGATTTACTCTGTAACTCATGAAAACTCCACTTTTTTCTATTTTATAAAACACTTACCATTAAAAGTAATTGCACCCATTAGTAATTAGAATGCACTGTAAAATTGTGGAAACAAAGAACTATGATTGCACTTCCAATAAAGTGTCTCTTAAAATACAGCACCGCTGTTGCTAATCAACTGTATTTTAATATTAAAATAAACTGTTTTTAACAGCAGCATTAGGTTTAGTTAACTTAAGCTACAGGCTACATTTATTTAAATGCAGTCTCCATGGCAACAAAAGCCCATTAAATTCTGGAATATCACTGCTACTGAGTGGCACCTTTACTCCCGAGACCGAGAACGCTGACATGGCCCCGGAACACTCTAGGACACAGCACACCTCAATGCCTTGTTAGTCAACACAAGACTTGGAGTTTGGCACAAATGGACTGTAAATAGACATGAGAAATCTTTGATTCATGTGAAAAGTAAAACTAATTACACTGTGGTGGATGCAGAACTAAAGAGAAGTCTTGAATACCTCAATTCACACTGCTTAGAAAAAAAAAAGGAAGTAAGTTATGGAAGAGCAAAAGGAGACTGAGGGCATACATATTACAAGGTATGCCCAAAATGAACTTCTAAAAAAAAAAATTGTTTTAAAAGGAAAGCTACCCAAAGATTAGGGAGTAAGCCTGTAAGTGTTAAGTACTGCCAACCCTAGGCTAACAAGAGGACTCATTTTCTTGAAATGTGGAATACAATCTATTCCATTTGTGTTTTTCTCTCCTCTCTTTTGTCAGCAAAAAAGGGAAAAGCTAACCAATTAAATACAAAAGAAATTCCCTGTAAGGTTAAAATAGAAAATGAAGCTACCATTCAAGGGAATGCCTTTGTATTTAACCCCTATGTCAGTGGTTAATAATTGAATTGGAATTAAGTGGACCAAAGTCTCTATAAAGCAAACTCTACCTCACATACCATCTGTACCTGCGATTCATTTATAGCCCAGATATGTGCAGTTCACACTAAATGTACTTGTTCAAGCCAGTCACTTGAGGTTTGAGGTGTTTGACTTGAAACATCTGAACCATCTGGTTTGTTGACTGTCTCATTACCACTGTCACCAACTTGAGATGCTGCTTCCCCGACCACAGTATTTTCTTCCAAAGGATTTTCTTCTATCTGAGTTCTTCTACCTTCACTGACACTGGCATCCTCAAACACCGAGTCTTCTTCTGGTGGCATCAGTTCCACGTCCCTCACACCTTCTGACCCATCTTTGACACAGGGGAGCTGGGAATCTGCACTGATTTCTGTAGTTGCTGGAGGAATCAGGGCAATACTCTGAGGGTTCATGTCATGAAACCAAGCCATAATATTACCAAGAAGATTGTCATTGATGTTGGGGTCCTGGCCAGCTGAGTCAGGATCACTGGAAGAGGGACAGAAATCACTTCTTGCCTCACTGAGAGGGTGTGAACTCAAGGTGTCAGTTGAAAATGGGTCACTTTCTGCTCCTAGTCTCATAAGGCTATCACCAAGTTCCAATAGCTCTGAGCTACTCAAGGCGGCCCGAGGGCTATCTATATTCCTGGGGACAGAGTCCAGCCTGGAAGGTAAAGAAGTGCCTATTGCTCCTAGGGATGCTTCATTATTGAGGAAGTCTCTAGTTTCTTCATCAATGGCCAGCCCAGACTCTTGCAGTGATAACTGAATTGCAAGAAGTATATTGGGATCATCTTCATCCAAGGAACTCAGAGCCTGAGAAAACAAAAAATAAAACCACTTAAAAATTCAACTAAAGGAAAAATGGCCAACTCAACCAGGTTTACCAATCTTCCCTTACAAAAGAGTTAATATGACTACTATTTATACAAAGAATGTATTAATTTTAGTTTGCTATAGGGTGTGCAGGCTTGCCAAAGAGAGAGAGGAAAAGTGAGAACTACGACCCCTTCTCCTCCATTCTTCTCTTGGGACATTGGGCTTAGTGTAAATTTTAAGCCACTGTGTCCAGCACTTGAACTGCGCAGTCGGCCATGTGGGATCCAGCTGCCCTAACCTCCATGACACTTGCTGGTTCTTGAAGAATTTTTATCTACTCGAATCTTAGAATTTTCTCCTTGCCCATGTTAAAGGAAAAAAAAAAAAAAACCTTAATATAAATTGTAATATAGGAATCTTTTTTTGTAGTACATTGTTGAAACAAAGATCTTAGAATGAAAGAAATATAATAGAGGCAATAAAAGTAAAACAGGAAAGCACACAAAACAGAAAGAACAAGAGCATGGTCACTGTAGCTGTCCAGAATGGTCACCTGAAGAGAGTCCTGGTTTTCAGAGCGGCTGGCTGGGGTATAGTCACGCAGGGAAGAGCTGTGCAGAATACTCATGGATGCAGAACTCACCACGGATGTGCCAGGCCTGCGGCCACTGCCACCTTCTGGAATATCTGTTTCAAAGCAATTGATACCGGAGACAATTTAGTCACAAGTAGATTTATTCCTTTTGGTTTTTTAAATTGTGAATTTCTCTTTCAGTGCTGGTGAAAACCTGTGTTCAAATGTTCATTTCATCTTTTTGGGATTTCTCATCCATATTTGTTTCATGAACAAAAGCAATTTATGTAATCTAATATTATTACCTCAAATCCATGACTATCTTTTACATTTTTGCTTGCACTCTTCATAATCATAATTATGGCTCTCTTCATAACTACAAGTAATATTATTTATTCCTATTTTCTAAAACATTAACAAATAAAGGTGTTTTTTGTTTTCAAAGTTCTTAAAATTAGAGAATTTTGAAATTACAATAGCCTGAAAAACACCTTTGGTCCCATTGATCCTGACATTACAGATTGAAGATTTTCTTTCTTTCTTTTTTTTGGGGGGGGGGGGGGTCATGAGAAGATTTTGCTATAGGGACGCATGCACTCGCCAGACAGAGAGAGAGACAGAGAGACAGAAAGTGAGAAATCACCCCCCCAGGGGGGATGGCCACGCTGCAAGCCCTTCTCCTCCATTCTCCTCTCAGGATCTTGGGCATGCACGCACACGCGCCCAGCATGAGTTTAAGCCACCGAACTGCGGTCGACTACGTGGGAGTCCAGCGCCACAGCCATTATGCTAACTGCTGGTCCCCCAGATTGAAGATTTTCAATGAATGATTGAACATTTAAAAGTTGAACAATCAAACAGCTAAAATAATTTATCTCTAATTCTAGAAATTCTCTCTTTTCAAGAATGTCTATAGGAGAACTCAGGCTAGGAGAAAAATATTCCATGAATACAAAACCAGTATCAAGAGCTACAATGTACTGAGTGCTCACTAGGGGCTTACATTTTACTGGCATTACCTAATTTAATCTTCACAGTGAGCTATGTAGTAAGGTGACACTATTATTATTGCTTCTTTAGAACAGGGAAGTTGAAGTCTAAGAGGCTACACGACCCGACTAAATTACGCAGCAGAGATGGGGTCATGAACATGGGTGTGTCCAACTTCTCAGTGCCCATCTTTTTTTTTTTAAAGAATAATTTTATTTAACTTCATTTATTATCTATCTATCTATTTATCTATTTATTTATTAAAATCTGACTAGAGAGGGACACAGAGAGAGAGAGAAAGTGAGAAAGCAAGTTACCAGGTCCAGGACTCAAACCAGTCAGCCATGTGGGAGTCTAGTGCCTTTAGCCACCACACTACCTGCTGGCCCCATCAGTGCCCATATTCTTTTTATTTATTTATTTTTTAAAATTTTATTTAACTTTATTTATTTATTTTTATTTTACCAGAGAGGAAGAGAGAGAATAGAGAGAAAGTGAGAAAGCAAGTCGCCAGGTCCAGGATTTGAACTGTGGCCAGCCATGTGGGAGTCCAGCACCCTTAACCACCATGCCACTTGCTGGCTCCAGTGCCCCTATTCTTAACTCTCCTGGTTTTCTGTATCCTGTGACCATAGAAGTATCTGAATACTTATGTGTATCTAAGTTACAAATTCTCAATAACATTTACATCAGCTAGTTTTAAGAATAAATTTAGAAGAACTAAGAGACTGAACCAGATTCCAGCCAAGAGCTCACCTAAAGTGCTTTCACTGGGCTCATCAGGGTCAGGAGGATTACTGAGCAGACTGTGCACGTCTCCTCGACGACGCTGTTGTCTGTGTCTCCTCCGATACTGAAATTCAGCATATTCCTGCATAAACCAAAGGTTATAAAATACAGGAGAGCATGCAATTTTTAAAATGCAAATAAGACAAACACCACTTTTTTCCCAGGGGAAAAAATGTGTGATTTTATAAACATATTATAAAATCATGTGGCTTTACAAAAAATAAAATCTTCAGTTTTTGCCATGCCAAAGAAATGGAAAAGATAAAATAGAAAACAAAACGTTTCAGATAGTTACTATGACTGCCTAGATACACTGGGAATACTTGCAAGTCCCAGTGCTAAATAAATAACGGAGCCTTATTTCACAAGCCTGATGGTGAATTCATGGGTCTTATTATAACATACTATACTAATACCACAATCATTTTACTGATAGAAATTAGGCTCTCCTTGTAGGTCTGGTTTTTAAAAAGTGACTGGGGGATATAAAGGCAATGGAAAAAAATAAAAGGAACAAATAGTAATAATAAAAAATACATATTGTTAAGCACTTCGTAGATTACTGATTTTTCTAATCTTTGGGACTACTAAATATCTTCCTCCCAAGTAAAATGACTAGATTAAAAGAACAACATGGAGCCAGGTGGCAGTAGAGTGGAACACAAGTAGACCCGCATGGGAATGGTGGTCCTAGGTTCATATCCCAGGACCTCCCTGAGCAGGATAGGTTCCACAGGTGCCCGTGATTCAGGCTAGCTGAGACTAATGGTGGAAAGACCCTTGTGGGGAATGCCTGTCTCTCTTTCTTTCTGTCTCTCTTTCAAATGAATAAAGGTTTCTGCCATAGGTTGCATGAGCTTGGTGGAAAGAAACAGAGAGAGGGAAAGTAAGAAGTCATCTCCCAGGGGGATCTCCATGTTGCAATCCATTTTCCTCCATTCTCTTCCTGGGATTTTGGGTATGTATGTACTTGTGCCCAGAGTGATATTTTCTTTCTTTCTTTCTTATTATTTTATTTAACTTTATTTATTTATTTATTTAAATTTGACCAGAGAGAGAAAGTGGGAAAGCAAGATGCCAGGTCTGGGACTCAAACTGTGGTCAGCCATGGGGGAGTACAGTACCCTTAACCACTATGACACCTGCCGGGACCCCTAAGAGTGATTTTCAACCCACCAGGTCTACTACTCAAACCGGTCAGCCACGTGGGAGGGTAGCACCTTAACCACCATGCCACCTGTTGGCCCTCTATTTTACATTTCTAACAACAGATTTAACTGGGTTTATTACTCTGAGGCTACAACCTGGTGCTATCTGCTGTTACCCAGGTACACTTTTTGGGTTTTAGTGACAGAAGAAAAGAGAACAGAGAAGACTACAGTACATGATACGAGCTAATTCTAAGAAAGGCTAATAAGGCAAATTCTAAAAATTGTAATAGAATCTTTCAGTAATAAACACTAAGATACTTAGGTTTATGATTGCTAGAATATTCAATATGCACACATTGTAAAAATACCTTGTACGTGAGGACAAGTTTTATATCACAAATAAAACTTCCATAGAACATCACTCTGGTTATAGTTATTTAAACATGTTCCTCTATTTAAGTAGCTGGATTATGAATAAAAGGTAGGAGGCACCTTGCCATGTTTAGAAACCAATGAATGAAACACATTACAGGTGCCCTGAGGGATTATTTAGGTTTCTTTAAAAAAATTTTTTTTCACAGTTTATTGATTCACAAAAGATCTTAATTAATCTAAATACTTTCAATAGCAAGGGCGGCTGATACATACAAATCTGTGAACACATGTCTGACTTTGGCATAAAACTCAGTGAGTAGAGTGAACATCGTATAAAGCAGCACCTAGCTGTCGCTGTATTTCTTGCTCAGCAAGGGTATCATTTCCTCTTTTCCTGGAGGTCCATGGTCTCAAACTGATGATATCATTATGCAGCATCACAACTGACTAGGCCACTGAGGACCACGTTTCTTAGACAAAGATGCTGTGAAAAGTTTGTCTCAAATCAAGGCTTTAAGTATTACACAGAATTTACTTTGTGAACTCCATGATGGCTCAAAGTTATTTTGGATTACAGAAACTATTACTAACTATAGATTATTCATATTTTCAATTTAAGAAAACTAAATGGTTTAAAAACAGCTGCAAAAGAAACCGGACATATTTCTAATTATTCTGACAGAAATTCTCAAATGGCATACTCTGATGATTTAATGGGCTTTTAAAAATTGTTCTGATAAAATTAAATTTATCTAGAAATATCCAAGGATTCCTAAGATCTTCAAGGAAGCATATCAAAAGGCTTATGTAGGATGCTCCAAACAGTTTGGGAGGTTAAGGCTACAGGGAAGATTAAATTTTCCTAAAATCAAAAGGGAAAAATGCTTCCTGAAAGCTTTTTTTTTTTTTTTTAAATAAAAGAATAGCTATCATTTATTAAGCACCAGTTTGTCAATGACGTAATAAGTTACAGAGCTGGAATTCTAGCATCTCTTGGACTTTCAGACTATACTCTTTACACTGGGCTCCACTGCCGTTAAGGTGGCATAAAACAAAAAGAGGGAATCAACCCAAAAGTCTATCAGTGTTTGGCAACATCAGTTACTTTTTTCTTGCAGTCTATATTAAGGCAAAGAGCTATTAAAAATATAAACTTGGCAATTTCTTGATAGTTACAGACATGCAGAATTTAAAAGCCTCACAATGTATAGCAATTTTTAAAATTTAAATATGGTTTACACAAAAGCCTGGTGTTTCAATATGCCAAAGACTTTAACGTAAAAGCAAAAGTTAATTAAATTTTTTTTTTTTGTAAAATGTATCAATTAATAAAAAATATTTAAGTGACAGTCATGTTAGCAGACCTTCAACACTCAAGGACAAACATTTTAGGACTTCTAAAGTTACTGCCAGAACTAGAGCTGTAAGACATATACATGATTGTGAATATACCACTAAAGGTTTTCTTTTCCCCAAATTACGTTTCTACTTTGAAATATTGAAAATTTTAGCACTTTTTCCCCTTGATATTTGAAGCTTGTTTATTTCTCCCTTTAGAAGGAAAATTTCCACAATAACTCTAAAACTATAATGGTATTATAACATGGAAATAATTATTATGGGGTCAGGTTTTAAAAAGTTCCTGATCTGTTTTATAATACAAATATCATGATATACATACATATATATATATGTGTGTGTGTATATAGACATATATATGTGTGTGTGTATATATATATATAAATATATAAGTTACAATTTAAGTGATCTTAAAATCCCGATATTAGAGTGCTAAGCACAAGCTGTTTTCTCAAATCAATGTTTTCTTGGATACAGCTACCATTATAAAAGGCTACTAGGTGACTGCAAGTATCCTCAGTAGCTGAAAGGAAAGTATCTGATTTAAATAAGCCACAGTCACTTCTGGTAATAATAAATTTTACTATTTTCTAGTTTTTGATAACAAATGGGCTAGAAATGATAAATAAAGGATGTATCATTTGTTCTGCCCTCTTCCAAGAATTTTGTTCAAGATTATCATGATATAAGCATATAATGGTGTACATTTTCACAAAGAGCAAAGGAGGAGAAAGAGAACTCGAGTCAACTGTTGAACCATTTTAAAGTCAGACTTAACAGTGACAGTGGCAATTTAAATCTCAGAAAACAGTTACAAAACTTAAGATTTTCACTCTTATTTTTATTTGACATAACTACCATTTGCATATTTTAGACCTGCATTTTAAAATGCTGTATCAATAAGAAACAGACAAAACAAATAATAAGTGTGAAAGTCTTGAAGGGAAGCAGAAAACAAGTAAGCAAAGTATTTCTTTCAGCAGAAACACCATGAATGCCAAATTTTCCACCTTAATAACTGAATATATAAATCAACTCTCACAGGTTGTTGCAGGAACTTAAACAAATTAAATCGCTCATTTAGGGTTTTGCTAGATTCAAACTAACAAAATATTGCAACTAGAAATGCATTTCTAATAAATATAATTTACCAACAAATTAGAAGCAAATTTCCAAAAATTTATGTTGTAAATTTGCCTCAGTTCTGACTCGTCAGTAATTAAAAATATTAAGAGGGGGAAGTATTTAACAATGTGATGATACTCCAGTACCATAAATAGCTACATGTAGGCTCTGCTGAAGCCTTTTTTTCTTACAAGAGAAAAAGCATTGCTGATAATTTCA